AGAAGAGATTTGGCAATGGCAGATTGGGTGGAATAATTGCAAATTTTGTTTTAAATAAAACATTCCTGTTAATACGTATCAGAACAGCATTTCCTAGTTTTAAAAATAATAAATCTTTAACCCATATTGAATTTGTGATCTGCTGTAACTCCTGGTTCCCTTTCTACAATGCTCCTGCCTAGCCAGCAATTTCCCATGTTGCTATGGGGTTTTTTTAAGATGAAAACCATTGTGCTTGTTTCTATTGATTTCCGCCCATCCCTCATTTTTCGGGTCATGTCTCTAACTTGTAAAAATTTGAGTCCTACATTGGTCCTTTGGAACCCTTGCACTTCCTCAAAGCTTGAAGTCATCTGCAAAATTTCTAAGTGTTTTAGTTGATATTTTGCCATCCAACTTAAATTAACTCAAGTTAGTTCAGGGTAAGCCCTTGCAGGGCTCTTTTGTATAGTACTCTCAGACTGCTGGTGATCTTTGGAAAAACTGCCCTTGAGTAGTGGTTACATCTCTTGCATGCTCATTTTACGGTGATTTCAGCTAAGCGCTATTTCACTTGTTTCCTTATCAGAATGTCTCATGGGACCATATTAAAAGTCTTAATTACGGCAAACTGTAGCATGCTATTGTTTCTTTGTTACTCAGCCTTGGAGTACATACTTGGTTGATCTGCCAAGAATCAATCAGTTATATCAGTGTCAGCTGTTCTTGACAGCTTAGTAGTCTTTTGCTGATTTTTCAGTTGTTTTCTTTAATGTTTTTCCAGTACAGTTCTAGTATCTTTTCTAGGTGCTCATGTGGAAGGCCTGGCTTCTAATTACCTTGATCTTCCTTTCCTAGATACAGAGAGGCAATATTTGCTTTTTGTCAGCCCTCTTACACCTTTCATTGTACTCTCAAATGTAATTACTGAGAGTTTGGAGATAACTTGGTTGGATCCTTAAACAGTAATTTGATTGGCTGTAACCAACCTAAATAGCCTGCCGTCTTTCCATACTCCGACTTGTTCTCTTTTCCCAATGCGTAACACTCCTGCAGTGAGTATCCGTTAACTTTTCTCTGTAGAGAGAAAGGACATTTGACGCGTCTTCTGTCAATTGTGGTCCTTCTTTAAATAGCAGACCTGACTGGTTTTTGTTATTCTTACTCCTCATGTGTTTATATACTCTTTTCATACCTTCTATGTCCCACAGCAGGCTATCAAGTAAACCTTCTACCTAGAAAATTAATTACTGTTAGATAATCCTTGTTAGGCACATCTGTCTGTGAGGGGGAAAAGAGGTGATCTGGAGTATTCTCATTCACTTGTGAAAAGCTGGGCTTTCACTTGTGGCAATAAAGGTCTGGAGTGTACAGGAACAAGAAGTGTTCAGCACTTCTAAAAATTTAACTTGATTTAGATTTAGTCTCCCGTTTCTCCAGCAGAGAGGAATTGGATTAATTATAAGGAACTATGTTTGCGTTCATGTAACATGAGAGGAGAGTGGACAACTGCCCCCAGCTCAGTGCAGCACAAGAAATGAGGCTCTTAGATTCTCAAATTAATTGGTGAAGGAAGAAAAAAAAAGTGCAAATGTGAAATAAAAATGAGAAGAGACTAAATCAGGAACATGGAAGTCATCTAAGAGGCAGGCTGGGTGGCATTTCTAGCTTTGAATATCTGCAGTTCAACCTAAGCAACTGTGTTGGAGGTATTTTTCCTGAAATACCTATGTAACTTAGGATCCAATATGAGCTTTAGTTCATAGGAATCCCAGTCTTCCTGAAAAACAGGGGTTTTAAGTGTTTTTGACTTTTAATAATGAGGTTTTAACCTCATAGTAGTGTGCTTTTGAAAATGCTTTTCAGGCTTTTATTTCTGAAAATTTTGCATTTATATTCATCTTCCATTACATTAAAAAGGAGATAAAATATAATTGGTGGACAGCAGAATTTCCTGGGAAAAACCGAAAAGAGCCCCATGTTGGTAATACATAAGGGAATACTGCCAACAAAAAGAGGCAGTCTTTTTTTAGGCTGGAGTTTTTACAGGCATATTGCTGTTAGGCTTTGGTGTTTTGTTATTTTGTGTGGATTTTTTTTTAATCTGCTGCAGACAAGAGGTCTCAGACAGCCCTTGTGAAGGAAGACTATTGTAAACTGTGAAACATTCTCTTCCTTCCTCCGGAGATTCCACTGCCAAAGCAATTCTGATAAAGTTTCCTCTACTCCAGAGCTTCTGCCAAGAGAAGGATGAGCACTTACCAGTAGGAAGCTCATAAAACGACTTGAAAAAATGAATCTCTAGGAAAAGGTGTAGAATTTTCTGCCTCCTGGCTCCAGAGAGGGTATAAACTGTTCTGGAGTTGTCTATAATTTTTCTGGGTATACAATTATAACAGCTGATCAATGGTTTAGAAAAAAAAGGCTTCCCTATCAAAACTTGTTAGTTTGTATTCGGATAATGTTTATGGAACCCCTGTGAAATTAGGCCCTTCTGCATGATGTACTGTACAGGTACATTAAAAGTACCAGCCTCTGTTAGGAGAGTTTACAATCTGAGGAACATGGACAGAAAAAGGTTGTCAGATGGGAAATGTTTTCATTCCCAATTTACAGATGAGCAGCTGAGGCTAAAGAAATAGTGGTCCTGGTCTGATGCTACCTGGAAGTCTCTGGGAGTCGGGTTGTTCTGAGCAAGGCTGGCCCAGGCCTGGGCTTGCAGAATGCGTCTGTGGCATAGCCAAGAGTTAATGTCAATCTCCCGGAGTTTCTTGGAGGTTTATTTGTAATTCTAGCTTTGCCTGTGCACACCTGGTAGAAAGTGTTCTTCTCCCTGCAAATATTCAATGTTGTTTTTAATCCTCGCTATATTCAGTAACTGAATTCAACGTGCTTTCTAGGACTTTGTTGCAATTTCTAGTAAACTCTCATATTTTGATACTGAGGCTGTTTTAGAATATATTCTTTACTCTGTCCTCTTTTCTGTGATTGATCCCTTTGATGGGCAGAGATCTATTAAGGTATGGCTACTTGAGAAATATTTTTTTGTGAAAAAAGTGGGAATTGCTACCAGCTGAGATCTTAGCTTGGGATCCAGGAGGCCCTTATTTTTATTCTGTAAGAACAGGCTGAGGCTCCAAAATAAGAGCTCCAACATGCACTGTATAAAGTATAACTATGCTTTACAGATATCAAGTGGGTGCTACCCTATGTCCTCCTATTGCTGACAGCCCTTGTTGAGTCCTTTGAATGTCAAGCCTTGTTAAACCTCACCCGTACTGGTGTATCTTTGTCTGGGATGCCAGTTTGGCAACTGGACTGTCTGGTGGAGTCTTCATAGTAAGTGCCTGAGTGGACATGGAAAAAAGAGTGGGGTGACATGGCTGATCAGGGCACAAGGGAATAATACCACTTCGTATTGACCAGGGTTAGGAGTGCTGGGGAATGTGGACTCTGCAACAAGTTTCCAGTGTTGTGCCGTTGCTCAGGGTTGACAACAGAGCAAATGTCTATTACTCGTGATGCCCATTGTCTACTTATAGCCCTCAGCAGTACTCGTGAGACCTTCTGTAACAGAAGCAAGAGGGATATTTCAGGGAGAATATCCAGAACTACTGTTGCATATAGCATGGCAAGTCACCAAAGTGGCATACACGTGAAGGTGTGCAGGAGGATCAAGGAGTGTAGTGTAGTGGTGCAGCCAGAATACTATTGTGCAAGGAGTCAGTGATCCTCATGCTTACTGCTTTCTCATATACGCAGCTGCACTCTGGATAGCCTGTGACTGCTTACCAGCCCACTATAGTAAAGTGTCTGTGGTTACTCAGGCGTGTGTCTCCATACCATGGACACCATGTGACTGCTCTCTGCAGTAGTATAATTAATCAGTGTATACACAATAAATGTGCATGAATGTAGTAAGAGACTAGTGTATTGTCTTGGCCACCTGAAATATTATATGCACCTGTTCAGGAATTGTAACTCTATTACAGGTAAGGATTTTGGAGCATATTGTCCAAGGGACTCTTCAAAGCTAAATCCATGTTCCAAGCTTGACTGCTACGAGTGACTGATGAATGAGCAAGACTCTAGAAGAGTACTCTCAATCCCGGGGCTGGCAAACCTTACCATAGATGAGAACTCTGCACATCGTGCTGTGATCCACAAGGAAGGGCTTGTCCAATGCTGCAGTTTCCATCTTTTATTCAAACTTAGTTAACCAGCTTTGAGTGTTGGTGCCTTTCTTACTGAGATCCGAAAAGAACTGGCACTTCCTTGGTGCAAAACACTATGCTAGGTGAAAAGTTGGAGTCTCCTTATTCATGCAGCCAACTCAAACTAGCCATCTTGCTCCTTCCTGATATCCTGGAATTGTGTGTTTCTGCCAGTAAAACTATGTAATGCAGCACTTGGCCACTTGTCAGCACAGTGTGCCTTTGTGAGAGGGTTGATTTGGCAAGGGAAAGCATGAGGTTTAATGGGTGGGAGGGCCAGATCCTGGGATTTTCCAAGAATTTTTTTTCCACACGGAATTTCCCATCCTGTGGAAGACAGGACAGTCGAGAGAATAAAAGGCCGTAGTAAAGGCAGGGATTACACAGTCCAGACACTTGGAGTTGAACTTAATCTTCAAGTCTGTATTCAGCAACTTTGCAACAGAAAGCAGTCACTGAGGCTTTTGCTACCTGGTCACCACAACTGCAACCTGTGAGTATAAATGGTATCCTGGTATTCTGTTTCATTGCTCAGCTAAAGGAAAACTGGACAGATGGAATACTGTGTTGGTGTTCTTTAAAAGCTATTACATTTGTAATGTAAGAGCTTTTACATTTAAAAACTATCTTGATATTAAGAACTGTTTTAAAATGAATAATTTTGTAAAAATGGAAATCTCATTTAAGTCTTTAGAATAATTGTTTAAAAGTACGTAGAAAATATTAATAGCCAATATTTTATATTGAATTGTAAAAAGTTAGTTTTGTTCTTTACAAATGTGTTCCTTTCATCTTTCATAGCCATCTGCTTAAAAGATAAAGAGAAGAGAAAACTTAGAAACATGATTTGCTTGTCCTTCCTGTCTCTTCTTGCTTATGGTAAGTGTGCATGTCTCTTTGTAGAAAACTAGCTGGATAGTAACATTAGTGTGCCTGTTCTGTTTGAGCTCAGAATTAAACAGAATTTTTGAACCTGACCTAATTAGCTTGAGGCTAAGTTCACATAGAATAGAAAAACCTCTAGCTGCAATGGCATGTTTCCCTGCTTGCCTGTCAAATACATAATTGGCTCCTATAGTTCGCTATGAAGTCTGCAGAGCTTTGTGTGATTGCACATAGTTTCGCAGGCTAAAGTCCCTGTGCTTGATGCTGACATGCCTGTTTTTGAAGCTGGCCAGTTAATTGTTTATAAAATAATTGCTACTTTGTATGTGGATTCAGATCTTGACAAGTTTGCGTTATTTATAGAGCTTTATATATCCTCTTCTGGAGAGAGAGGAGGGAAAAAGTCAGACACCACCTTTTTGACATCTTTCCATTCTAGGACTTACAATACTGCAGGTGGTGAATTGTTGGACATACCATTATTCAGACACAAACATGACCTACAGGGAAGCAGAGCTGTGGTGCAAAAAGAGGTATACTAACATGGTTGCCATTCAGAATAAGGAGGAAATCAACTATCTCAATAACTTCTTACCCTTCAATCCGGGTTACTACTGGATTGGAATCAGAAAAATTAATGAAGTATGGACCTGGATTGGAACTAACAAAGAACTGACAGACGAGGCAGAAAACTGGGCTTCAGGAGAGCCAAATGGCAAAGGGAACAATGAGGACTGCGTTGAAATCTACATCAAAAGAGGGAAGGATGATGGCAAATGGAACGATGAGCAGTGTGAGAAAAAGAAGGTCGCCTTGTGCTACACAGGTATGGTATGATAAAGGCCATTCTAGTGTGCCCCTGTGGAGATGAGATGGCGGGTGGGATGAGTTGTTTAACCTAGTCTTACATATTAACTGCCTGACCATGTAATCACTTGTACACTCAGCTACAGGGCTGAGATTATTCTTGTTCTAAGAGCTGGATTGATCCTGCTTACCTTTTAGCTCCCAGAATATTGCACATTTTTATGAGCGAATCACCAGACCTTCTCTATAATCAGTGGAGAGAAACAGGCTCTTCTAGATAGTGACTTTCATCCCACTTTCAAGCAGGTGTCTCAGCTAGATAAGAATGGCCCTTTTGGAAGTATCTCTCTGCTGACTGTAGACCACTGGATTCGATTAGACACTTTGTGTAGAGGTGGCTAAGGCTAGGTCAAAAAGAAAAAAAAAAAAAGTCAAGAATCAGCCAAATTAGAGCTGTGGTGAGTTAATGAAGAATGTACCTGCTGAGGATTTCTACCTAACCCATAGTATATTGTTCCTTTTGCATTTTAAATCTTGCTAATATCTACCTGAGAATAAGTGGTCATGGAGTTTGCCACCAGTAGAATCCATTCACTGTGAGCTAGTCTGTCAAAGGTGTTGATTTCTGAAATGCTTTTGTGAAATGACAGGATAATCTTATGTGCCAAACATCCTGCTTCTCTTTTGCTATACAGACTGCTTGTTTAGTGCCAGAAGGACAAATAAAACACTAGCCAGGTTTCATTAGTGACCATTGCTAATTCTTTTATAATTTGCTGTAATTTTTTTTTTTTTATTCCAGCTTCTTGCAACCTGTCTCTCTGCAGTGGCCGTGGAGAATGCATAGAGACTATTAACAATCACACCTGCCATTGTAACCCTGGATTCTATGGGCCTGAATGCGAGTTTGGTAAGATTACTCCATCCTGCTTTTCAACCATGGTGATGTTCATGCTAGCGTGTTCAGTTTGTCTGGCTTGATTTACCTGCTCAGCTGATGATACTGACTGTGTACCTTCTTGTGTTTCTTTTAGTGGAGAGTTGTGATCCACTAAAGAAACCTGATCATGGGAGCCTCAAGTGCAACCATCCATTGGAGAACTTCAGCTACAACTCATCCTGCACAGTTCACTGTGAGGAAGGCTATGAACTGACGGCACTGGAATCTGTATACTGTACCTCTTCTGGGGTCTGGTCTGCCCCCCTTGCAGCATGCAAAGGTGAGTTTCTCAAGCAGTGATAAATGAGCTTCCTACATTGTACATAGCTCTGTAAACTTCTGTGTTGCTCTGTTAGTAGGTACAAATTGAAGTTCTGGCCCATTTCTTTGTAATTAATTATGTGGTGAAGGTACTATTTTATTGCAGCACACAGGTGTCTCTCTTCCTGAAAAGATGAAATGGGCAGGATGAATATTCTGGCCCTGGTCCATATTTC